CACAAACTGGGCAACAAAAGATTAGAAAACCTTTGCTGGTCAGACGAGTCTCAAGTTCTGCTGAGACACTTGGCTGGTTGCTGCTGGTGCGACGTTGCAACATTAACTGCGCATCATTTAAATGCCAACCTGAGCGCTGTTGTTAACCATGTCCATCCCTTTCTGACAGCGGCCCCATTCTCTGATTGCTGCAAAGATGCTCAGGTAGGTGCTACGTGTCGAAGTATCATCCCCGAAGCATCACACTGCCTTCTACCCACAATGCTCCTGGTGCCAGGTGTTCCCCGGGTAAGCGACACATGCACGGTGACTAATCAGACCAGGCCACCTTCTCCCATTGCTCCATGGTCCAGTTCTGATGCTGATCATTGGTCATCATATTCTCTATATATGTTACACCTTGGTCGTATTATTGAAAACTGCAAACTCTCTTATCATTGCTATGCAGATGACATCCAAATTAATTTTGAATTGAGTGAGGATGAAACTTCCTCGATGCTTCGCTTCTTCGAGTGTATAAGTGAAGCTAAAGAGCAATTCCCGCATCCTTAATGACAAGAAAACGGGAATTATAATCTTTGACAGTCACACCCCTGGAGCCCATCCAACTGGTGTCCTCGGGCCCTTTGCTGATTATCTTTCTGATTCTGCGAGTAATTTGGGTGTTTACCTGGACGGCATGTGTCCTCTGTGATTAAATCTTGTTTCTATCAACTTTGTTTAATCTCTAAGGCCATGCCATACTTACCACGTGAGGATCTAGAAAAGCTTATCGATGCCTTTGTCACATCCAGGTTAGACTATTGCAACTTCCTATACACTGGGCTTCATTCTGCCCTTCTTCATAGATTGCAATTCACCCAACACGCAGCGGCTCGCCTTCTAACTGGTACTAGTAGGTTTGAGTCTATCACCCCAATTCTCACTGGCCTCCAATTAAATACTGCATTGATTTTAAAATCCTGCTGCTTACTTATAAAACCATAACATCGCACCCAGCTACCTTATTGCTCTCCTTAGCGTGTATACTCCCAGTAGTATTTTCTCCAACTAAACTCTGATAAAACAGAAACTCTAATTATTGCTCCAGACCACATGGTCCCAGAAATCAGGCAGCATATCAGCTTCTTAGACCCTTCTGTAAAATCAAGCCTTAGAAATCTCGGTGTCATGTCTGACAGCTCGATGTCGCTCGAGCAGCAGTCTAAGCAGCTGTTTTTATCATTTACGGAATATTTCTAAACTCAGACTAATGGTATCAAAGCTTGAACTTGAGATGATTATTCATGCTTTTATTTCTTCTCGTTTAGACTACTGTAACGGCCTTTTTACTTGTTTTAACAAATCAGCCTTAAATCGTCTTCAGACTGTGCAGAATGCTGCAGCACGTCTCTTAACAGGCACCAAGAGAAGATCGCATATCACTCCAGTCTTGGCCTGCCTTCACTGGTTGCCTGTAAGTTTTAGGTTTCATTTTAAAATTGTAGTTCTAACCTTTAGGGCCCTGCATGGTCAGGCTCCTCAATATTTATCTGACCTGCTGAAACCACATACATCTGCTCGGGCTTTAAGGTCATTAGATCAGAGACTGCTGGTGGTACAGCGCACTCGTTTTAAAACTCGTGGTGATCGGGCCTTTCAGACGGTGGCACCACGGCTGTGGGATTCTCTCCCACTGTCTCTTCGCTGCACGGACTCCATTGATTCTTTTAAGAAACAGCTGAAGACATTTTTATTTAGAAAAGCATTTAATTAATTTCTTCTTATGCTGTTTTTATAGTTTTATTGTTTTACATTGTTTTATTTACTGTTATATTGTTTTTATATTGCCATTTCCTGTGTTGTAAAGCACTTTGTGATTTTTATCTGTGAAAAGCGCTATATAAATAAATTTTACTTACTTATTTAGAACACTGAGATCTTCTGACCAATTGCTTTTGGTGCAACCTGGGTCACGGCTGAAAACCAGAGGTGACCGTGCCTTTGCTTCAGTCGCACCTAACCTCTGGAATAACCTCCCTCATGCTATTCACACATCTGACTCGATCCAGACTGAAATCCCACCTTTTAGCTCAGCCTCCCCGGCTCCTAGAGCAGGCCTTTTAAGTGTACTTTCTTGCCCTCCCCGTTCCTCTCTTTTGCTTATATTGTTTTATTGTTTTCATCGTTAAGTCGTGCTTGCTTATCTGCGTACTGTGCTTGTTTAATCAGTGCCTCCCACCTGCTAGCTTATCTGCCTTTGTACTTTACTATTGTTTTATTGGATTATGTGAAGCACTTTAGCTACCTCTGGTTTTAAATGTGCTATACAAATAAAGTTGTATTGTATTGTATCATTGGTGGTTTCGGTGGTGGGCAGCGGTCAGCACAGGCACCCTGACTGGTCTGCAGCAACCAAACTCTTTGAGCTACAGCACTACTGTCCTTATGCTTTCCCCTGCCTCTAATATCTACTGTGAGGACACCGTGCTCACTCGCTCCCTAACACATCCCACCCACTACAAGGCGCCACGATCAAGAGATAATCAGTGCTCCTCACTTCGCCTGTGAACATTTAAAATGCCTCACCAGTGAATACAGTCACACGTGCAGCGCAGCTGGAGAACATGATGTGTTTTAATAACAGTCCACAGGTTTGTTGCACTGAAAGAAACTCGGCCACAGTTTCATTTTCAGCAAGTTTATTTTTTTCTTTTTTGAAACAGCTCACAATGTTTTCAAAACATTTGACTTTCCTCGCAATCTCCAACACGAGCAAGCAAGACATTAACATCTTCCAACATGGTCAAAGTCGTCGCCGAATGACATTTGGAAGCAAACTATTTCACGAGAGTCCACTTTAAAAGAAGTGAGAAGCAATCGGGCACATAACAACCAATAAGAAGACTGTACATGAGTGAAACCGGACTAAAACACTAAGAGGCCGTCTCGCGGCGCAAAGGAGCAGTGATCTGACAAAATTAACCAAATGCCCTAACAGTGAATTACTCCTCAGCCTTGCATGCGGGTCAAGTGTGCGTGCGTGTGTGTGACTGTATGCATACGTGTGCACTTGTGTTCCACTGTACAAACAGTAAATTGGGGCGATCGTGGCTCAAGAGTTGGGAGTTCGCCTTGTAATTGGAAGGTTGCCGGTTCGAGCCCCGGCTTGGACAGTCTCGCTCGTTGTGTCCTTGGGCGAGACACGTCACCCGTTGCCTACTGGTGGTGGTCAGAGGCCCGGTGGCGCCAGTGTCCGGCAGCCTCGCCTCTGTCAGTGCGCCCCAGGGCGGCTGTGGCTACACTGTAGCTGCCATCACCAGTGTGTGAATGACTGGATGTGTAAAGCGCTTTGGGGTCCTTAGGGACTAGTAAAGCGCTATATAAATACAGGCCATTTACCATTTACCATAAATTACATAGAAACCTAACGTGTTCTAATAAGGCATTATGTGGCAAAACAGAGAAACCAGAGAACACCGAGTCCACAGAGCAAAAAACAGCATCGATGCCAGAAAATCTGTCGTTAAGGCCAAGAAACGGAACAAAGTGCCTCATGAACAGGACGCAGAGCTGCGTGAAATCAAGCTCGAGTCTTGAGGAAAAATGTCAGCACAGACACCGTTTGATGATCCGAGCCAGGGACGAGATGACGAAAGGAAACATCGGTTTGTCGCTCTGGGTCGGTGAATGGGAAGGTTTCAGAACAGCTGCAGTTTGCATGCAGAGACATAAAGGCTGTTTCCCACTGCAGGGGGGCGAAGAGCAGCGTGTGTGCACTGACTTCACAGGTGGGGACAGTAGCATAACGAGCTGGGACCATACATAATACATTCATGAAGACGTCTTTACGAACAAAATGAGCGAGGTCAACAAAAAAAAAACACCATCGGCTCCACGGCAACACGCCGACGTCTGCTAACCGACTGCGGCACAGTCAGGCGAGGAGGGCGGGAGCACAATATTTAACGCATCCATATATACTTTCTGCCCCTGATGCAACGCCAGGCTGTCGGACGTGAAGCTCTGCAAAGTTTCCCTGAATGGACTGTTTTATTTTCTCATGATAAAATCCACTATGACTGTGTGGGACCACCCACAGGGACACAGTTCTCTCTAAAAAGATGCCAAATGAACAATAAAACGACGAGATACAAAGTGAGCCCGACTCTCACTCACAGCAGTCTGTGTCCACGGCCGGCCCGGTACCTCTTCGGACTTTTCTGTAGGTATTCAGCAGACGGACGGCGCTGCCTCAGCCATGGCCGCGGTGATGGGCTGGTGTCTGCTCCGACACAGTTCCCTGAGAACCCCAAACACGCTTCCTTGAGCACTACAGCTATGGCAAAATGCTGCGGACAATAAATCGCGGTCCTGAACAACACAAACGAAACACAAAAGAACTCAATTTTACCAAACGACGTGGTGCAGCATCACAAGAAGAGGACATTTTTAAAAGCCGATATTTACAAATTCATTCAGGTGATCTCGGCGATGCTAGCAGGATGGGAGGGTGTCAAAGCCAGGAATCGTCCAATCGCGTGCCGCCTCTACTGACATAACACGGTGCTGCTGGTGGAAAAGAAGAGTGTACCTACATGATGCCACCAGTCACCTGTGTGCGTCCCGATCCGTCAACAGGACAAACAGGAACCACGATCCACAGTTAGCTCCTCCCACAGGGCACCAGCGTCACATCTACCGCCACAGGACAAACTGTACTCTTACCAAAATATGTTTAAACATTGTGTATACAGCGTAAGTCTATATGTTTGTGTGTTTAAATGTGTGTTTTTTGCATTCTATATTCCAGCCTCGGGATGCTTATTTTGGCTTTAAGCAATGGACGCCTCCTATGGACGGCGAGTTTGCGACAGGGTCACGCTTTCCCTGACGAGCTCCACAAACTCAAATCCTTCACAGTTTGCTCCAGCGTCCACCTTTTCCTCCCGCTCCTTTTTTGACCCCCGTATATATTTTTAACATTATAAAAAATAAGTTATTGCGCATCCAAAAAAAGTGCAATGTACATTTGAAAAATATTTCTCTCTCTTTACACATTTCCATTTTTTCTCGACGTTTTTCTGCTAATTGGGGTGGATTCCCACGGATGACTTTGGGGTGGTGGCGAGCTTCCGCCCGGTGGCTCTGCGCTCCGTCGTGCCGCACTGCTGACGGAGAGCGAAGGGGACTAAAGGGTTGAAGGAGAGGAAAGAAGGGAACAGAGAGAAATGGGCGACGGGGACGCCACGCTATGCGATAACCATGGGAACGTCGTCTGAGAAGCCGCTGATCATGGGAGCATCTTCGTCGTCATCACCTGTTAACAAAGGGAAAACGCGTGTTTAGAAAGCTTCGTGGCTGTTGGAATCAATTTGTTCAAACGTCAACACGCCAGAGAGAAGTGGACCCGACTGCACGCTAGTACAGCAGCCATACGGCGATGCGCCCTGCTTTATTGGCTGTTTCACTTTAGAAGAAGTTCAGTATGGTGAACATCTGCAAGCAGCCAATGAGAAACTCACGTACTGAGGTAAGAATTCAAGTCAGAATTATGGTCATTTTTCACATTGGGCCACGTTTTTATTGCAGTCAGAGCAGGAAGCTAGGTCCAGCTTAGCAGCGTGTGAGCTAGCTATACCAGCTTCATAGGGTGGGGCAGGCTGACTCTTCTATTGCAACCATGCTGAACTGCTAGGGTCAAAGGTCATGCCAAACTGAACAGAAAGGTGAAACTTCGTGGCAGGTGATTAAAAACATGTATCCCTCCGCCAACCTAAAATGTAAACGACCTTTATAAAAAACCTCGTTTTTCCAATTCGTGTCTCGTTTCTCGAATCGATAAGAAATAATTACCCAGTTCATCCCCGGAGGAGAAGATGGCCGAGCCGAGCCGAGAGTTGTAGTGGGAGTTGGCAAAGGCGGTAAAATTGTTCTGCAGCCGCCGGTGTCGGAGGTAGAGAACCACCAATCCGCCGCAAACAGCCAGCAGCAGCAGGAAGAGGACGGGAACCACCACGGCCGCCGTGTCGCCTGAGTGGGCCTCGCTGCGGGATGCATCGCTGGTCCCTGTGCAGGAGGGAAAAAAGCATTTACAGAAAAGAAATGAAGTGTTTGTAATCCCTGGAATACTGTTAGGTTTCTCTGGGCTGCATGAAGGCGCTGCTAACAGCCCAGGATTTAGGAGCCGGGATGCTCCTAAATGGCTCCTAATCAAACAACTTAAACTCACATTTGTGGGTAACTTTAATTCATTTGAACCTTTTTTTGTAGTGATTTTTATTAAAAACAATGACATCATCAAACTGAATTTAATGCTAAAAAGCTGGTGAGTGCCTCAAGCAGCTCGAGACTGTCAGATTCAGGGTTTCTTTTGATTCATTCTTTAATGACGCTACACGTGGAAAAGATGTGAATGGCAACAACACAGCTTTAATGTTCATCAGGTGAGTGTGGGCGGTACCTATGAGCTGGTTATAGAGCAGCACTGCAGGCTCCCCGCACAGCTGCCCGTTGAGCAGGCAGCGAGCCTGGACAGAGAACGTGTAGTTGTGTCCCACCAGCAGGCTGCTGATCCTGAAGAAGGTGTCTGTGGTGTTTCCCAGGGACAACGTCTTGTTGGTCACGCTGTCAAACACACGCACTTCGTACCCCTGTGAACAGCGCCCCCGGCAGGCAGAGGAGCACCACAGCAGCAGAAGAGCAGAGCATAAATCAACACTTGGAAAAGCTCATTCTGCTGTAAGAACAGTGGCACCTCTCACATTATTATCACTCGCAGTCACTGACATTTGGTTTCAAAAGCAGTGGTTAGCTGTAGGTATCTCACCCTGCTCTCATTGAAGCCCTTCTCTCGGACAGCCAGGCTCTTCCAGAAGAGATATATGTGATCCTTCTCCGTCAAAAATTTCAGGGCTTCAGGAGCCGCAAGAGGAACTACGAGCACAGGAAACGCAGAGTTTATGAAAAGTAAGCACAGGGGAGTAGAATCTGCTCTGCACGAAGCGACATAAGACATCATATTTAGGGATGCGTGCAATCAGTCAGCCAGATGATTAAATGAGTTCATCTAGTTGGTAAAAGAATATTTAGAATTGAAACATGCACAACGCCGGCTGCTGCAGCTCTCTGTGTGTGACGGGAGAAAAAGAACAGACACTGTCAAAGTGATCACAGTACTGAGATTACTGTGATCACTACTCCTTATTTTAAAAAAAACAGCAACAAGCTATCAGTCAAATTCAGCTATAAATGTGTTTAATGTAGAGTTCTTTCTTTATTGCTAATGTTTTTATTTTTAATGAAACTAAACGTATTCAAAAGGAACAATTAGACATCTATTTACAGTTGAATCACATCTGCATTACTATTTCAGGCCAGTCAACGTGTTTCTGTCTGATTTCAAACAGGCCTTTGAACAGTCAGTGTTAACTAGAGCCGATATGCACCTCTGTAACAGTAACAGTTTCCATCCAAACAGAAGCTTTGGTCATTTACAAATCACAGGCTAAAAACATCAGTGAGGTTACAGTTTGTAAGTGTGCGTTTCTGGTTTGTTTGTGATGTACTCCATTTATACTCCACGATGCTCACATGGCTGTTGGCAGTCACAGCTCAGTCACACTAGAGCAAGAATATGAGGACAACCTCCTTGGATTAGGACAAGTTGGCGGTTGATCAGTGACTGAAGAGTTTGTGAGTTTTGAAGTCACACAGTTATACCTGTGCTGAGGGTGAAGCTGGCCTCCTTGCTCATGTTTCGCAGGCGCACAGAGATGCTGTATCGCCCTCCAGGCTCCAGGCCTTTCAGCACGTATTCCACTGTGTTGTTCTGGGTGGTCAGCTTGTAGTCCCACTCCACCTTACGAATCACATCCCGCATGTGTATTGCATATGTCTAAAGAAACAAGACGGGAATCCAAGATCAGGCGGATGTTAAAAGCTGTGACGTATCAGGTAATAATATATTTGCGAGGTCATTCTTTTTTATCGGCTGAGTTACAGGATTGTGTTTCATACACGTTTGAACACAGCTGGAGCATCTGCTACAGCACTAACTCACTGCCGTGTTAAGTGTTGTTCAGGATACGTGAACAGTCACCATCGACATCTTACACTGTTATCTCTGCTCAAGTATGAGTATTATTAGAATGACAACATGGATGAGACAAAGGAACAAATACTGCCATAAACATGTTCTGTAGCTAATTTACAGCTAGCTAGCAGCACTCCAAAAAGTTGATTCTGTTCACCTGGACGAAGCGTTTAGTGGGACAAACGTTTCATCACTCATCCAAGTGACTTCTTCAGACTCAGCTGACCGCAGGTTTCCTCAATCTTATTCAATTCAATTCACTTTTATTTATATAGCGCCAAATCACAACAAAAGTCGCCTCAAGGTGCTTCGTACATACAGAGAAAAACCCAACAATCACATGACCCCCTATGAGCAGCACTTTGGCGACAGTGGGAAGGAAAAACTCCCTTTTAACAGGAAGAAACCTCCAGCAGAACCAGGCTCAGGGAGGGGCGGGGCCATCTGCTGTGATTGGTTGGGGTGAGAGAAGGAAGACAGGATAAAGACATGCTGTGGAAGAGAGACAGTCTCAGCTGACTGCAGGTTTCAATCTTATAAACAGGACATTTGCATAATGACTGAAACCAGCCCACTGAAGGAACAATGGGCTGGGAGGTCAGTTCCTTAATCTTAATTATGCAAATTCTCATGACCATTGATCAACAACCACTGACCAAAACCCACTGATCAAAGTCAGCTGAGACTGAAGACGTCACCTGGATGAGTGATGAAACGTTTCTCCCACAAAACGCTACGTCCAGATGAACAGAATCAACTTTTGGAGATTTACTGTCCTGGATGATTGAGCATGCATCAAGACCTAGCTAGCAGCAGTTTACTGTAATTGTAGAAACAAAGGCCAGTTATAGCTAATATTATACATTCATATGTTGTAGTATTGTCTTAAATCAGTACAGTTTGACATGAAAAATAAGTCCATGTCATGAACCAAGTAATTTGGCAGCTAATGTGGTCTGTCTTCTAAGCTAGCCACTCAGGATTTTCCTAGCAATACAGCTAGCTAGCTGTAGCTTAGCTTCACTGGCTCTGCTTATGTTCTAACATCAGCTGATTAAGTAATTTTTAAAAAGAGCAGATATGACACCAGATGAACCTTGGATGATCGTATGAATTAGCTGGCTTTACTCACCCAGGACAACTTTTGCTACAATACGTTAGCAGGCATAATCACTAAAACCTATATGAACTGAGTGCCCTACTGATTTCAGGGTCCCTCACTGACACTGAATCTGACCAATGTGCTTCACAGAAACGTCCCCCACATGCTGAGACAGGACAAAAAGCCAGCTGTGGTCACACTGTTTGGTTAAAATAACTATCCTTCCAGAGCCGCGCTGTAAAATACATGTTAATGCAAGGAAAACGCTACCTACTATCTCTTCAACTGTAAATATGAACAAGTTAAAAGGTGTGAAATGAGTCCTTTATATTCCCCATGTTCTGATCGTTTGACATCATCACAATAAGAGACAGGAGTGTACCAAAGGTTTGCTCGGGCTGTCATAGGGGGGCTGCCACTTGAGCGTAGCCTGAGTTTTGTCGACTCGCACACGGTGGAGGTTCCTGGGCGGCAGCTTTTCATTGGGAATCATTTTCACCACAGCGTAGTCGGAGGGAGGACCCAGGAAGGGAGCAACAACCCGCACCTGAACAGAGAACACACAGATCATGGCTAGTGACCGAGTCATGTTACCCATACACAATATGGCCAAAACGAGACACAGCCAGTTGTGAATGCTGGAGTGCTCTGTAAAATGTAAATAAAAGCAGAATGTGGCGGTCTGCAAATCGCTTAATCCCATTTTTCTTCATATTAGAAGACGTCAAGAAAACATCAAATGTTTAAAGTGCGAAAATATGAATTCATTTTCAAAACGCTGGGATGTGGCCCTGATGGATTCCTCTACCATGAAGCCATGCTGGTAAACGCCTTCCATGAAAAAGGCTTTGGGAGCAGATGTTACTCTAACACTTGTATACTTCTCTATCCCTCTCACCTGTGATGGTGACCTCTCACCACCATCATAGATGCAGTGCTGAATACGACGTGCAAGTATCTGGATGTGCAGTGTAAAAAGTTCATTTACAGAACTGTTCGAATAACAGAAATGACCAGTTTCAGCAAATACACGTAAATGAAACTGTGTAATAAATACGATCATTTTTAAAGTGTTTCATTCTGATTTTCAGTTTGGGTTTCTCCTCCTTTATGAATCAGCGCAGATGTCTCTCACTGTTTAAATTTTCAGGGACAACATCAATGAGCTTTAAGGGGAAGGAGGCCTTACGGGGTTGAAAGCTCGTTTCGGTGGAGGATAACCTGAGGGGCTGTACCAAGGCCCGGATCATTCTGCATTCAGGGTTGGTGACTCTGAATGTTCACGTCCATGCTTCGTAATAAGTCTAACGTGTGCTGGAACATATTCCCCTTCACACTGGGAACAGCTGCCTACGCTGCAGTCACTCAGCAGGCTGGCTCCGTGATTCTGGCGTGCCTGCTTTCAACCCTCGTTATTATTCCAGTTTAGTCTGAAAACTGTGTTTGCATTTTAATTTATTCTTCACTACTAAGCCTAGATCACCTGCTCGCGTCACCACCGTCAAGCACAAACGTGACAGCACAGCTGTGGAGACGATCGCAGCTGCATTTGCACCTGCGCTCGTTAAACTTAACGCTGAATAATTTCCACTCCTGCGCTTTTTGTGTTTTCAGGTGGGAGATTTCGCCCTTCCCTTTACTCTCACATGTCACACTAACTAGTTCTTCTGGAAGTGATCTGGCTTCGTGCCACGAGCAAACTTTCTCAGAGCAACAGCACGGAGCGGCGCCGTGTTCAGAATAGAGATGGACCGATGTGATATGACGTATCGGTCCGATACTGACCTAAATTACTGGATTGAATATCGGAGAGAAATAAAAAATGTCATCCGATCCATTAAATATCAAAAAAGCACCTCACAAAACTTGCGGCATGGCGTAACTCGGCTCATAACCATAGCACGTCGGAGCAGTGTGGTCACGTGATAGAGCGGCTGTGGCGTGCCAGAGCTGTCGGCGGTCTGGTTGAGCATTTGTAGCCTCGCTACCAACCCAGCATTTCATCTCCGAGGAAGTGATCCCAGAGAGAAGAAAGCAAGTGTGTAAGTTCATCTCTGAATGTTTGTGAAACATTCCAGCATTAAGCTTAAAAAGCGATATATGGAGCGACTGCCTCTCTCCCTCTCTCTCTCTGCTTCAATCATGAAACTGATCAGTGATCAGCTGATCGTCTCTCTTGTTTGTTTTTGGCCCACTTTGCACCAGAAAGAAACCAGCAGCTGAACAACAGCAGCACGTTTAAGCTTGATAAGCTGTTGTTAGTATTTATTTAATATTACTTTCTACACCAGGATCTTTTTCTACAGCTGACGGCTGTAACTGTGCAGGGGCGGATCTAGCAAAGTTTAGCCAGGGGGGCCGATAGGGCATGAACAGGGAAAAGGGGCCACAAAGACATACTTTTCTTTCTTATTCTCATTTAAAATGTCGAGCTTTTAATAAATAATTATCTGACACCCAAAGTTTTAATCTGATGTAAAAAGTATAGAAGTCCATCACTGTATATAGTAACTGTTAAGTCTAATATACCCTAGTAATCGATTAAGCATCATGAGGTGGGGGGTGGTTCCCTATTTTTTTTTTTTTTGCTGGGAGTTTTAGAGCCCTATTGGTTAGGTTGCTTACTCTTTAAAATACCAGAATAGGGAGGATGGAGCAGGTTTAAGTTTATTAGATTGATCAGTTTTGCTGAGCTATGAAATATTTTGTTGTATTTTTTGCACACAGGTGTAACAGAATAGCTTTAGTGTTGTTTATTTAAACTTGAGTATCAACTTATACAAAATGCAGCAAGATATTAAAAAACTGTTTTATTGATTAAAAAACACTATATCGGATTCATATCGGTATCAGCAGATATCCAAATTTATAATATCGGTATCAGACATAAAAAAGTGGTATCGTGCCATCTCTAGTTCAGAAACGGCAGGTACTCAAACACGTGAAACACACGTGTGAGATTCTGGATTGTTCCTTTAGAGAGGCGTGTTTAAGAACGGAGGAAAGACTCACCAGGAAGAGAAACTGCTCATCGCTGTCTACGGTCACTGTGAGGCCGACAGAGGGTGTGCGCACCTGACGAGGACTGAGGTAGAAGTCCAGGAAGGAGGTGGCATAAAACACACCGTACACCTGCGCGCACACAGACACACACAGACACACACAGACACACACAGACACACACAGTTTCAATGGTCAATACGTACGTTCAACAGAATGTGAAATAACAAATGTAGGAGGATCTGGTTGGATCTGAATGATGTCCTCAGGATCCTTTGTTCATTAATGCGGTTCCATGCACATGCAGCGTGTGTGCAGTAATGCATGAGTGCAGGTCACTGCCTGCCACACTCAGTCTCCTCATCGACTGTCACCATGACACACTACTACACACCATGGTATGTTTTTAACATATTTTTGAGCACCTATGATATAATATGATATAAGCTTAGTGTTAAAGGATGTGTTATGGTTGTGATATCAGCCAACACTCCACATCATGACTAAGTGTCGTCATCTTAATGTTAAAGAAAACATCATAAACCCAGACTCTGTTCTGGATCCTGGCACTCAGATTTCAGCTTGGATGCATCAGCCTCTCTCTCAGTTACAAAGCCAACTCCACAAACATGGGATGTGGTGTAAATATAAATACATGCAGTGGATCTCACATCTCATGAAAACAGACCATAGAAAACATATCCAACATTTGAAATGAGAAAATGTACCATTAAAAAGGGTCGTGTTTACTGCTGTGCACCAACCTGCCTGCTGTTACAGAGGAACTCAGCTGCTGGACTTTTACCAGAGCAATGTTGTCCCGTGTCTGCTTTAGGATTGTAGCTGCTCAGTCCAGTTCATATCACATGTTTTCAGTCGGTGGACGGTTACGCCGTCGGTTAATCAGACTCCATTCCCATTATATTTAACTTTTAGCTCCACACTTTTCCAGAATTGTATTTAAAATCTTTTTAACTGCTGGATTTCTCTGATAAAGTCAAAGATGAAACAACAGGCTGCACACTCTTACGTCATTTTCTATGATATTGTTTGTGTGAGTTTACCTGAGCAGGCGATCCACTGACGGTCCAGCTGCACTCCACAGCTGTCTGGTTGACAGCCTTGGCCTTCAGGAGGGGCCGCTCTGGCTGCTGGCCTTTGGTCTGCTGATGTGTCAGCGTGGTGGGGCTGTCTCCGACGCTGGTGTGAGCCCACACAGCCACCTCATACACCGTCCCTGCTGTCAGGTTTGTAGCTGGAAACAGACAGCACACGTCAACACCCACACTGCCAGACAAATGCACGCGTGACAACAACAGTCTGATCGGTACCTTTGAGGACCCCTGATGTGAGCGTGTAGTTTCTGTTCTCCTTCACGTGTGTGTCAAACTGCCAGGACAAGATCACAGTGTACTGTTCCACCTGAAAGAAACAAACAGGGCCATCAGAGGCGTTCGCACAAACGGGAACCAAAAAACACAAGAAGAAAACCTGAGGAGAAGCTCTTACTTTGTACTCAGAGTTTAATGTAAAGGACAGGCTCATGGAGTCGTTGGTGATGCTGTCGAGGTTCACAGAGGGAGGAGGCAGGGCTGCAACACAGGAAGGAGTCAAAGGTTTCCCTGGTTTCACACAGCTGATGACGAGACATTTATAGGACCGGCCGTATGACGTACCTGCCCCACTGTTCATTATTTGGGCGCGATCGGTTGAGGAAGTGATTCTGAAAATATTTACTGCTATTTAAAGTTATTATTTATAATATGTGTTCATTTCTGACAGGCCTCCAACACACTTGTGTTCTTACTGAAGGAGCTAGCACACACAAAGAGGCATCCACCTGAAATGTTTCCTAAATGCCAGTAGATGGCAGCGGGGAGCAGCTTTTCAAACTGCAGCGAGCCTGAGACCAGCGTACCTTTCTTAGGGGTGATGGATTTCACCTCGGACCAGTTTCCCACACCTCGACTGGTCACCGCAGCCACCTGGGGAAACATCAGCGGTTACACACGCTGCACGTGACGCTAACACAGCGGATGTTTGTGAAGCGGTGCAGGCGTCTTACCCTGAAATTGTACTGCGTTTCTGGACGCAGCTCGTACACCTTAGTCGTCTCTAATTTGGATCTCGCCGACGTCCAGTCAGCGCTTTGAAACACGCTGTACTCAACCTGTCGACAAACACAAATAAAAGGATGTTTAGCCACAAAAACCCACGACTAGTGAATGTGGAGCCTTTAATGAGCCGAGTCATCTCCTGGCCCAGAGGTGGGTCGTTTTAATAAAAGAAGCTGGGCTGCACCAACAAGCTGAACCGCTACAGGTACAAGCAGATGCTACAGTCACTCAATGAATATGTAAAAACATCAACACTGCATCTGTTTGATCAACAATCTCAAAAACTATTTGTCAAGAGATTTATTTCAAAGACACTTCTTCAGCTGAGAGTCTAAGAGGAGAAAACACACAAACAGACGCTGCAGTTTTAACTTGCAAGGGCGTTTCGCAGAGCGCTCACATCAGAGCGGGGCCTGTGAAATGCACGCTCTGTTCTTGCACTTGTCTTTATTTATACACGAGAAAAATGAATACATTTGACGTGAGCGTGTGTGTGTGTGTGTG